ATTAGGTTTTCAAAGGAGCGGAAGGTGCTTTAGTGTTTCTGAATCAGTCTCAGAGCGATTATGAGACCGTTGGGATTTTATGAATGCTGGCATGTGGCTCAATCACCAGCAACCTGTATCTGCAAGTTTGTATTTTTATTTTTCTCATCGCTAGTCATACCATCTACCTAGTAGTTAGGCAGCTAACTTATATTCTAGGGATGCACGATATACTATATTGTTGACTGATATTGGATATTGCATGCCAAAATTCAATTTGGCGATATGTCAGTAACATCAAACCTCATTGGTTGTTGCATGATGTCAGTCATATGACACGCAGGAACAAATGAGGGTTGATACCATTTCAATAAATTATATTTAAACAGATATTCACATAGAAAACAGCGGTTTTAAATTGGAACAATATTTCGCAATTTTACTGTTTTTATTTATTTTTGATCAAATAAATGCAGCCTTAGTGAGCAGAAGAGATGACTTTCAAAAATATATTTTTTAAAATCTTGCGCTACCGTTATGTCATTTTCAGAGCCTGAAAATTTTGGACTGCACTGACTCTTACTGAATGGATAGAAAACAGCTGAAAGATTCTTCTTCCCCTTTAATGAGATTCTGTAATTGATTTTGAATCAATCACTGATCCTTTCCTGGACTTTCACAGCAGAATCTTGTAGGGCTGGGTAAAAAATATCGATATCTCTATTTTAATCGATTCTCATTTTTACAGAACGAATTGAATAGAAATATTATGTAATTATAACTTTATTATTATATAAACTTAATTAAGTGTCATTTTAGCAGTTGTGTAGCCTACAAATCAGTTTTAACCTTCAATATTATAGTAATGTAGCTAGTACCAACTGACTCTCATATCCAAAATAATCGATATTGAATAGAATTTAATCGAATTGGTAATCGAATCGAATCGCAAGCTTGTGAATGAGAATCGAATCGTGAAATTTGTGTCAAAACCCAGCCCTAGAATCTTGATTGTTCCATGGTTCACATGTTAGACGGTTTTGTTTGCATATCATTTGACCAAATGAAAATCTTCCTGTCGAGAAGAAACCCATTACAGAGCTGCTTAACTTTACAGCCAGATTTTATTGGGCCAGCTCAGAACAGGACATTTGTTTTCCACTTCCCCATTAATCTCCACATTTTTTGAAGAATGGAGGAAGGCAGTCCCAGCTGTGTGTAGTAAATCTGAGGAGATCTGGACAGAATGGTGATGGAAATAAAGAAAACTTCCTTTTCTAAACCTGTGACTCTCACATGAGCTGGTCAACCCAGCCATTTTAGTTTACTTTACAGGTCTGAGTTCAGGGATACAAGCCAATTAAAACAAAAGAGTAGTTTTCTTCATCTGTCCTTTGAATTCATCAGATGCCATGCTTCGGGCTGAATGTGAGAGAACGTTGCACAGGTTTTCACAAGGAATGCGGAAAGTTGTTTTCTATCCGTTTCCATATTCCTGCATGGATTCGAGTTTGCCAGCAGAGCATGCATGCATCCATTGAAATTACCAACACGGATGCTTTTAGCAGATCCACCTTGCTTTCACTTTGGCTTATGCTCAAGATGTTCTGCTGATCTTGCAGTACTTTTTTTTTGCAGACGCTGTTAACGGTGCGTTTGAGACCTCACCTGCTGCATTTAAATCACTCTTGAATCTGTTTTAGGATGTGTCTAGGCGCTCTTTAGTAGGGGGGTGCACAAATAGTTGAATATTCAAATATTCGATATGCAATTATTATTTGAAAAATAAAAACACTAATCAAATTTTACTACGTGTTGCTTTGCTGGCCGTAAATGCAGGGAATTCATGATTAATCCCAAGCACTCAAACTAAAAGTCAGCTATAACTAAATGCACTAGGTGGCACTGTGGAGCGTGTTAACAAGTTGATTGTATTTGATCACAGAATGATGTCGTCTGCCGCGTGAAGATTGGAATTACTTTGATCTAAATGATCTTACAAATCTGAATTACTTCTGATCAAATGAATCAGTGAATCTGAGTGATCATAATATCACCAACTCAATGAGAATCACATGAAATCCAGACAGCAGTAACTGAGGAAAGACAGCTGTCCATCACTGCATTCATACTGCAGATCATTCAACAGCCAAATGATCTGGAGACATGCGCTTTCTTTAAGTTTCCTGGAGTGAGAGCGCTTTAAGAACAGAAAACACACAGCGCTGCAAGAAACTCTGCTCAGCACCGCGTTATCTTTGTGTCTCTGGAACATCTGTGTCGCCGCGCGTTCTTACTGTTATCAGACTGAGGAGCCGACTTTCACCCGAGCATGTGGATATTATTGTTTTTCTCAACATTAACATGTGAATAATGATATTATTAAACACGATAAACATAGGCCGACTCAAGTGTATGTACGTTCTGCATGCAAGTGTGCTCCGCTTGAGCTTGAATGCTTTTAAATCTATTTAGTTTACACATGTTTTCAACTAAAAGTAACATATAACGTAACGTTGTTGTAGAACATTGCTGTGTGTATAATGCCTAATCATAAGCTTGTTTGGAAATGGTGACAAAAACATGATTATTAAAAAATAACGTCCTTCTCGTTAAATGCCATTTAAGTAAACAAATATTCGTTTTTATGAGCCCAGATATACAATATTTTTGAAAAATGCCCATCTCTACTCTTTAGTCAGCCGCCTTTTTGTCAAACATGACATTCAGATTATCATAAATTAAGAATTTAGTTTGAAATTGCTTTATTACAGTTCAGTTTATTTAAAATATTTATGTAAATCTAATAATAATAATATTTGTCTTTAATTTTTATAATAATAATAATAGTAGTGGAGTCAAATGTATTCATTATTATTATTATTGTTGTTGTTGTTGTTGTTGTTGTTGTAATAAGACATTTGCCTTTGTTATTATTATTAATTATATTTTATTATTTTATAATAACAATGAAAATAAGACTAATATTAAGACTAATATTATTATTATTGTTGTAATGTAATAAGACATTTGTCTTTATTATTATTATTATTATTATTATTATTATTATTATTATTAATTTTATTTTGATTATTATTATTATTATTATTATTATTATTATTATTATTATTAAATATTAAGACTAATATTATTATTATTGTTGTAATGTAATAAGACATTTGTCTTTATTATTATTATTATTTATTTTATTTTGTTATTGTTTTATAATAAAAACAAAAGAATAATAATAATAATAATAATAATGTTTTTGCCATTCTGATTTCACTGTGCACATTTTTCAGTACAGAGTAGTTCAGGTTGGGGTGAGGGAGGACAAGAGTTTGGAATTGAGTAAATAAAGAATTCTCTCTCTTGTCTTTGGCTGATTTGAATTAAATAGCAATTAAATCACTCACTTTTCTTTTTCTTTCTTTTTTTTGCCAAAATGACTCTGTTTGAATGGTTTGTCATGTCAGCTTCTAGCTGAACCAAAAACGTGGGTTTGAGAATGGGGTTATCTGTTTGTCCATAGTATAAAAGTCCTGCTAGGGCTGGTACAGAAATGACACGGTTCATCCTAAATCTGTGCAATACATCTTCGAGACAGATGTAAGCGAGGACGCGCTGCCTGTGTGACCCAAATCAAAACTCCCTGAGCTGTAGGGAATGTGTTCGCAGCTCAGCGGGACGGTGTCGCTTCAATACACCGCTTTCCTCAAGAATCCCCTCAGGCGACGTGAGTTTCTTCTCATCGTGTTGCCCTGCATCTTTAAGTTCAGCGCTGAAAGTGGGACACAGAGGGTCAGTTTGGGCTTGGCGATGATTTCATCCTGCAAATATGCCGCCGGGACAAAAGCACGTTCAGCCGCGGTGATAACAAGTGTGCCATCTTTAGACACACAGCACCCTCCCCGCTGCACCCTTTCACGTCCCTCAAACCCTCCAGCTCCGGCCTTTCTCTCAATCAAATGAAAAGGGGCCCTGAACAGAGTTGTTTTGTGTGTGTGCTTGTGGCCCACGCTCTTTCATGGCACGCATGGAAATGTGAGCCCTGTTACTACAGTATATCTGAAGCAGATTGGTGCAGTAAAAGCACCTGCATATTCCACTTTGTGCTCGGTTTCTCATTTTCTTGCCACTAAGCATCACTAGTTAGTTTTACATGTAGATGGGCCCCTTTCTAAGTAGCTGGTTCGGAGTTAAATGAATCAGATTTTTGGCGATATGGCCAAACATATTACCACAATATTGTTTTCCCTATCATATGTTATTGATATTTATCACAATATTTATTTAGCATTAATGGGGAAGTAAATGCTTTCCACATGTTTATTAGACATTGAGAATTAATGTAAGTATAACTTTGTTTACAATGAAACTCCAGAGAGTACAGTAGCTGCCTTTCAATTTAAGCCCCCATGAAATCCATTTTATTTCCCTAAATTCTGTTTTCAGTTTTATCTATTTATTTGTTTGTTGGATTCTGTATTTATTTTTGTATTAAATTTGAATTAAATCATTAGTGTCTAATGAAATTAATTAATAAATCTTTAATAACTGAATCAAGCTTTTAAAATGCAATTACATGAAAATGTAAAATTTACAATACAGTTTTTATTTTTCAAACAAGATGCTACACGTTGTATGATATTTCTTAATTTTATATTATATTCCTTATTTTTTATAAATTATTATTATTATTTTATATTATTTTATTCTTATTCCTATTATTACTTTGAAAACTACATTTAGTATACATTAGGAACACATATATTGTAAAATTTCAAGTTAAACCAAACTTTAATTTTGTCTGTTTGTAGTGAAGATCTGTGAGTTTCAGTGTGTGTTTGACGGTAGTTTTTCTCAAAGTAAACGCTGCTGATGTGACTCTCAGAGCAGCTCTGGAGATGAAGTTCATGTCCTCATCATCATCATCATCATCATCATCACAATCTCGATATGTCTGTGAGATATTCTAACTGCTAACAAGCGTTCTTCCTCTGGTTTTCTCTCCCCATCAGAGGTAAGTTTGCAGTGGTGAGGAAGTGTGTGGAGAAGAGCACAGGGAAAACATATGCAGCGAAGTACATGAGGAAGAGGAGGAAGGGCCAGGATTGCAGAACGGAGATCATTCACGAGATCGCTGTGCTGGAGCTGGCAGCGGCCTGTGCACGAGTCGTCAATCTCCACCAGGTCTACGAGACGGCCAGCGAGATGGTGCTCGTTCTGGAATAGTGAGTATCACACATCCAAGGCTTAGTCTCGCTTATTCCACATTCGCTGAATCCAACGCAAAATCACATTATTTTTATCTTTTTGCAATCCTGCATAATTCGTCATTTCGCCGCAAAATAATCACAAAACTTAAGGTCTCACAAAAACCAAATCTAACTGAATTATCCCTAATTTTATTAAAGGTAGAATGGATTATTTGCACGAGGATAGAGATGTCAGTGAGTGTGAAACAAAACGAAACTTCCGGAGTCTCTCATTACGGACCGGCTAATGAATATCCTAATGCATTACACCAGAGCGGGGGTAAATTGTGTTGTAGTCCTTGTAATAAAATACATTCTACTGTTGACCATACCATCCAACATATGTATGCGAGCAGTTAACGATAGCTACTTTATGACATGAGCGAAATAAAGTAAGCAAGGTGATGATTGTTTTATATGGCTGGGTGGTGTGACGATGTAAGTGTCAAATCGACAGAGATTTTGTTTATATCAAGGCTATGTAGCCTATATATCCTCACAGCATTCAGACGGCTACTGTTTAAAGTGATTAACACGTTGGAGCGATTAAGAAACGTGGATGAATGACAAAATAAAAAGTATGAAATGCTTGATAGTAATAAAAAGCACATAATTCCCGTCTTGCCGCGTGCGCTTGCCAAAGTATCCGTCTTGGCGAATATTCATGTAAACACACAGTCGGTTTATGTCTTTAGTGAACAAACCTTTTTGGGGAAAAATAGTTTGGGACGTGTGTCAGCACTGGATCTGCGCACTACTGTAGGTCTGCTAGTGTCGTTAATATTAATGAAACAACAATAACAGCAGCAGCACAAATAAAAATTGCCTAAATTAAGCACCGTTGATCTTTGTTGTACTTATTTGTCCTATTATTGTTTCTTTTCAAAATAAACTTTATGCACTTTGTTTGTTCTTTGTCATGCATGACTGTTATCTAACATAATTTATATAATGGTAAGTGTGCTATCCTAATTATTAAAATAACTTAAAGAAAAATAAAAAAAATCTGTAAATTACCACCACAAAATCAGTCATTTTGATTGCAAAAAAAAATAAAAAATCACGAAATCCTGGAGGGCTGACTTATTCATTCTCCTTCATTACGACTGGTTATTGCCCATTTATCCTAAATATGTTTTATTTTAATTTGGCATTTGCATTATCTTGCATTGGTAACGAGCCTACACACGTGCTCAAGGTTGCGGTTGCCAGATTTCAAGAGTTTAAATCTTTCTCTTAAATGTTATACTTTTTCTGCCCAGTTGTTTACTTAATCTCCCCAACCTGGAAACTAGGATAAAAATCGTCTTCGTTTTAACAAGTAAATATCATTTCTTAAATCCCAACACTGATCTTTTAGGCTATGCTCTTTTCAGTTGATGTGCGAATAAAACTTCACTAAACATTATTTGTGGAGCGTCTCGTATCAAATAATCAGAATAAACTTAGTGTTTTAAATTTGATAAGAAACAAAGTCTCAGCTTTCAAAATGTGATTTCATGAAATTCAAAGTTAATGTGGCATGACAGATTGCTTTATCTGCCTCGGTTCAAACGCCATGCGAACGGATCTCTTCTTTATTAGTAATTATATCTCTATTTCAACAACGGACTGGAGTTGAGGCGTAATTATATCATTAGAAAGTTGATTTGAAAACTTCCTTATATGTAGCTTAAAAGTTTGTATACAGCTCAGTTTTCATTTGGGTGTTGATTTATTGTATCTAAACATGAATGAAAATTGAATTTTAATTGTTAAGCCTCTGTTGTTAATTTACTGTGTTTACATCATTTAGAGAATTTTTTATTGTTGTTGAATCAGTATTGAATCAATTCAAATCTTGTCAATACCAGCCTTACCCATCACAAACATTTAGTTTGTCAATATCAATATATATTGCCCTTGAAATTCACCCAAACATTATTCACTCTCTCTCATGTCATCATGTCTCTCTCAACAAAAATTTAGCTCTCAGATATCTTGTACATATTCAAACATGATGTTTCTCAGCAGGTCTGATCTTGGTGACATCAAAAGTCATTGGCTATCGAGTCTGTTGTATTGTTAGGATCTCATTCAGTCACTGCATTAGTGATTTTGCAGGCTTGTGAGTATAAACTGTGCCTTGCCTTAATCCGTAATCAACGGCCAGGCTCACGTCAGGCTCAAAAATATTGAGGTGAAATCCCATCCTAGCCAATTAAGAAAGTACATCAAGACTGAGCTCAGACCGCAGACCCGAGGTGAAAACCAAAGCGCACTAATCCACCTAGAAACCCCCAAAGCGAAACTGAGCATGCCTCAGTAAGCACTCGCTATTCCAGCAATGATCAGCATACACACACACACACACACACAGAGTCATTGTGGTAATGCATGCATGTGCACTGGCATATTGGGTTTCCCTTGCAGCCAAATGCTGACATTGACATTGAACTTTGGGCTACGGGACAAAGCATTTCCGGACCCTTCTGGTGCTCATCATCTTTACTGTACAGCTGCTGTAGTCCTTCACCCCCCCTTAATGCACTCAATATTAGGGGTATGCAATATTTATCATCTGTGATAAACGATATGTTGTTTTAACGATATGCGAGCTGACGTTATCAAGTAAGTCACTTGCTTTGTAATAAACAAACAAAAACGCGTCTTTAGAGTCCAAAAGCATTCACTGCCTGATGAAGCCTGTTAGAATATAGTTAGAATGCATTTATAATTCAAGTTATGAAAACAAAAATCTCCATGGGTTTTTGTTTCTTATAAGATATGATATAGTTGAGTAATATCACACAAGCAAGAGTGCTGTTTTCCTGAATATTAGCGCGAGTGTGATCACGAATGTGATATTAACTTATACAACAGTTCAAACAACATGAAGTTAATATTGAGTGAGTTACATTTTAGACAAAATATTGTCTTTTTTTTTCTGTTTTGCCAACAAAAATTGTTCCAAACAAAGCCGGAGCAGAACATTTGTGCATCTCTGAGAAACACAGAGGTGTTCCGTTCCTGAATTAATCTGTTTTTGAACGAATCATTTGAGTCAATGATTCAATAATCCATTCATAAAGTCTTGAATGAATTGTTGATGAATGACTCAATGAATCACTCATTAATCACTCATTAAGGGACTTTCCACCACCTACTGACAGTCATTTAGTGCCATGACAGAATAAATGGAAATTGAATTTTAAAGGGGTCATATGATGCTTTTTTGGCTCTGTTGTTAATTTTCTGTATTTGCATCATTTTAGAGATTTTTTTTTTCCATAAGAAAAATTGGAATGTAGCGCAAGTATTTTGAAATGAATCAATATCGAATCAAATCAAACCTAGAAACCTTGTCAATAATACCAGCCCTGCCTATCACAAACATTTAGTTTGTCAATATCAATATACGGTATATTGCGAATGTAATAGTAACTTGTACAACAGTTCAAAAAAACATGAAGTTAAAGCAGCACTATGTAAGTTTTGGCTCTCTAGTGGTTAATAAACAGAACTGCATGCATCCCGCGGAAGAACATTCCAACCGGAGCTACTTCTCTAAGTTTGTCTATGGCGATTCACGCAGGTATGTGTTACTCCGCAGCGGTGACGACCCGACCAGCCTACAATAGTCCAAATATAAGTACTTATTATAAGTGTACCGTAGTGATTCGGAATAAGACAAAAATGTGGTTTGGAAGATGAATTCATGATGTATTCGCTCATTATTTACGTTTTGCAAATTTTGAACACAGAAAAAGTTACATAGTGCTGCTTTAATATGGTTACATTTTACACACAATGTTTTTTTTTCCTGTTTCGCCAACGAAAATGGTTCCAAACAAAGCCGATTCAGAACATTTGTGAAGCTGAGAGAAACTCTGGCATGTTCCGTTCCTGAATTAATTTGTTTTTGAATGAATCAAATGAGTCAGTGATTCAATAATCCATTCATAAGTCAGCCACTTGCTTCATTTTTCATCAGTTTGAATGAATCGTTTGATTAAATGAATCACTCATTAACCTATTATTTAAAAAAAAAAAAAAAAAAAAATCACAAAAAATATCGAGATATAATTTTTTGTCAATATCGCACACCCTACTCAATATCTGTTTGTGTGCAATTCAGCCAATGTTTTCATCCCGTCTGTGGTCATACGCAGCAGATTTGATGTTCTAGAAAGGCCACACTGACAGTTTAATTCATTTGGCATGAAGTGGGTCACACATTTCTGGCTTCCACTCAACCATATCCTCTCCCAGACAATGAGCGCAGATGGGATTCGACTCGGTCTCGTTGGACATTTTGTTTTGATCTAGAGTTTGATGGATCCATCGACTAATAAAATCTGGAGCAGATGATTTGCATTATTTCATTATGGCTCTGCGCTCGTATCTTTCAAAAGATCAAGCGGCAGCTAATTCTTGGGGTTTATTGTGAATGTGAATTGAATCCCTACACGTATGTCAAAGCATTTGGCATCGGAATATAATGCAAATCCTCCAGTATAAAGCGAGTGGACCGTGTTGGTTGGTGCAGCTGCCTCTGTCCCGGTTGACCCGGTTCCCAGTGTCCGGCGTGAATGGACTGACCCTCGCGGCGGGGAGAGGGTCAGCGCAGGAATTTTAATCTGCCCCTCCAAACACACAGAGCCCATAGACTCTTCCCAACCATGGAAACTGACGAGACGCCTGCATTTACAAAGAGTGGTGTTGAGGAAGAGCACGAGAGAAGCCATGAAAGAATCGACTGTGATGAGGAAGAGTTGATTATCTGGCTGTATGCGTGACCGTATCGACGGGTTCGTTGGTAAACACCGATCCCACTTTCCCGCAACTCCCTGCAGGCTGATCTATATCAATCGACTGGGTTTGGACGAGCAGTGAGGTCACTCTCGTTTCCTCTCACCCACCAGCGATAGCATGTGTTCAGATCGCTCATCATCTGCCCACACGGCTGTCCTTCATCAGCAGCTGTCTCTGAACAT